CGGTGGCACTGACCAATCTGGAACAGGACGTTTCAGCATGTGTAAGCTGAAAGCCTGCAAGCACTCTGGATCCTGGATCTTGCGCCTGTCCAGCAGCGGCTTCGCAGAAATCGCACTCTGACTAGCACGCACTGTGGGCGCAGGCATATTGACATTCAAGTGGGCGAGGTAGTGATCAGGCTGTGAGACAGTTAGCTCCACGTCCTTATTTACTTTTGACCCCGAGGAGTATGGTAGACACGAATTAGGGACCCCGATGTAGTCAATACGTTGCGTAGGGGAACAGCCGCCATGAGGTGCCCAAGTTTCGTGCTCAGCCGAAGGCCCAAGGAAGGTACATGGCAAGCACAGGTCCAGCTCCCTAAGCATTCGATCCAGACACGCTCCACAGAAAGACTCCGCCTCAGCCCCGACATTGCCAATAGAACCAAAGACCGTAGAGCCCACGGTAGTGTCGGCGCCCACGAGCAAGAACAAATAGTCGACCTGACGAGCCGCTCTTCTCAAGGCAGCAGTAGTTGCTTTCCACCACGCCTGTATGTCATTTTCATTATGCCCTGGACGAGGTGCGTGAGCCACGCAAAAAGTGACGTATAATGAAGCAAGAGCAAGGTTGACGACCAGCAAAGTAGGGGTAACAGCAGCCACTTGAAAATTGTTCCTGGATATTCTATCATCCTTCCTGCCGTGGCTCCCACTTTCGTGGCGTGGGCCATGCACTACAAGGAACGAGCCGACATGACACCATCCTGGGTTGGGCATACGTGTCTCTGCTGTGCCGACAACAGTATAATCGTGATGACCAAATTGCTCAGCTAGAAACCTGGGGCGTCCGGCTCGATATGCCCCAACAAGCCTGGGACCTTGCCTGTGCTTTTTGTTGCCAAGTCGCTTGCCGAGACACTTGATCTTAGGTTGCGATAAGGTATGCACGTTAGCGAAAGCTAGTATAATCTCTAGCCGGGCAGAAGCATCTTGCCCTTGTCGACTCTCAGGCGTGAACAAATTTGGAACATGTCCAACACAAGTGTGTGTTGGCGGAGACTCTGCAGGAAAGCGTGGGTCGGCAATGATCAACTCGCCGCCCCTTATCCCTGGATACTGACTTCGCCCACTCATCGGCAAGACATTTAAGTCATCCATGCCTGCATTGCTGGAAATGAGTATTGTAGGACATGGGGCCATGGACGTGCCACTGTATTTCTTATGATACCCATGCCTGCAAGTGCTGCAAGTGTGGCTACGTACTCATTAACCGGATGCTGTGCATGCGCATGAACATGACTAATTACAGCTTGGTGCCTACGAATGAGCACGTGAATTGAAGAACGCAAGCGTGATGACAACCTTGCTAATGGCGGTATGTCCCACAATCCCTGCGTTGCAGTCATGACCACAACGTTATCAATATAAGATGGTAGTGCACGTCCGAGAATGGAGCCTTGAGCGCCCACGACATTGCCCACAACAGAGCCAGCGTCTCCGACATCAAGGTTAGTTGAGAGGGCGAGACGCAGATGCCATCTCTTAAACATGCTCCAGCACGATCGACAAAATAATGAAACTGTCCATCCCCAGTAACGATGAGGACGCAGAAGGCCCACGGAGCTTTCACCTCGGAGGGAGTCGAACCGCCGCTTCCATCGGTAAATACCTCGATGCGAAGGATATCCGACAGGTCGCCACCCCAATCAGAAAGAGATCAGAAGAAGTCCCTGGAGCAGCTCAATATACATCTCGTATCCTTTCGCCAATCCGTATTGAGTACCTCATCCCATGGACGGATAAGAGAACACAGCAATGTTAGGATTGTCAACATATCCTGACTTGACCCCATTGAAGCTGAGACTGGTTTGCATGATCGGAGGAGTCGATACTGATCATGTCAGGACTAGATGCTACCCCGGCGGCTCGTAGCCTTCCCGCAGCACCAAGTCGTTTATGTAGTCCACACTTGCAGGGGAAGCCGCCGCTACCGCCTCCTCCGCTGCGTTTCCTGCCGCCGTAGAGCCTTGTGTTGGCCCTCCGCAGCCAGGGGATGGGCTGCGTGTCGGTCGGCGACTCCGTATGTCTGGATTTTGATCTTGTGATCTGTGAGCTCCTCCTTCGGCGTCGCCACTGGATGGTGACGAGCCACTCGAGGTGGGGCTGGAGCCGCGTGGGGTGGTGCAGCGGCCTCGCTCTCTGCCGCCCTCGCCCTTTCCGCAACCTCGGCATGTGGAACACCTCCTCGAAGAGCAGACATCAGCGCCTCGTGCTTGTTGTTGAGTGTATCCGTTGAGCACCGATAGCATTGACACTCGCATCTATGTGAGACTGGTATGCCGACAAAGACGTCGCAAGCTGTGCCAGCTGTCGCTGCATGATGGCCATGTCCGACAGTTGCTGTTGCTGAGGTGCTTCTGTCATCTGCTGAGAAGGCGGAGGTCCCACCCGTCATGTAGCCATGAGGGTCGAAGGAGCAGTGTGCTCGCCAGGTGGCGTAGTTGTCCTTGTTATATCTGCCTCCATGTTTTGTGGACTGGTACGTCATTCGTTCATCGCCTCGTGATGTCTTTGTACGCACTCCACATCAAGGTCTCGTTTGTCCTGAAGTTCGCTCAAGTGCTGTCTCTCACGTAGTATTTAGTTGTCGATGTCCTGCAGTCTCGACTCCGAACGCTGCAGAGCAGATTCTTGTCTGGAGAGCTGGTCCTTGAGAGGGCGACAGGGATGAATAGCATTCAGCACAATTGAGTACCAAGACCGTTCCTCGTATGCCATCTCGCCTGACTTTTCTGAGCCTGATCGTGCCAGCCGATCCTGTCAGCTGCAGCAGAGACTCTGTAATGAACACACTTTGGCCGTCGAAGTAGGTTCCAGCTCACCAGTGAAGTGTTGATGTAATCGCGCTTCCGAAGGAAGAGCAGGAATGATGCTCAACGGTCTCTGATCTTCGTTTCTTGATCCATCCTCCTCCTCGTCGGCAAAGGAAAATGAAGGCGACCTCGTACGCTGTTGACGCTTTGCTGTAGCCGGCCTCTCTTCTGGCTCTGTCGATGGTAGCGTAGGATCCGTTCCCTTGCCTGGCCTTGTCCTCTCTCGTCCGCGCGGGCCCTTGCATTGCGGACGCACCGGATTGTTTTTGACCCACGGTTGTTTTTCGAAAGTATCCGCAACAGGTGCTGAACCATATTCGGTCCGTGGGACCCCGCAGTTTTTGCAAGCGTATTTTTCCAGGAAATTGGAAGTAGCACACGCTGCACAAAACCCAGGACTTGAAGGACATTGAATGATGCTGATTGAGTAGCCGTGTTGCCTCGATGACCGAAGCTTCAGACAATCTGGCAATGATACGAGCCTGAGCTTGCGCTTCCCGCTGACGCCGATGCCAGGCAGGATGAGTCTTCTGCCGCCGAAGTCCAGGAATCTCGGCAGGCGCGGTCAGCCACTCGAAGCGGCCAACACGCTGGCACCGAACACTGGTACAGTATGTGGAATATGCTTTGGCCTAAAGGGGCAATCGCCCCGCCTCGTTGCTACTCTGGTAGCGGACCCAGACGGGAACTTGGATGGGGTGGCGCCGCGTTCGGGCTTTGGAGGAGGAGGAGGAGGAGGAGGAGGAGGAGGAGGAGGAGGAGCCATCAACATAATGTGTGAGTGCATCCTTGCCCGCCACCTCCAGCGCCTTCTGCGCTGGGGCCGGTCGCCACCATCAGAAAGAGGCGGGAGAAGTAAAGACGCCCACCCGCCGTGCCCTTGCCGACGTGGGCCCGCAGAGGGGCCGCGGAAGAGCCAGCACCAGATCGCCCCCGCCTATTCCCTTGATGCCGCGGCCCCCACCTCCTCGGCGTTCGCCCCCAGGCGCTTCATTGGGCCTGCAGGGGGGCCCTCGTCGCCACGACCGGATGCGCTGCGAAGCCCGGGGGCAGGGCGTGCCCTCTGCCGTTTCGGCGCGGCGGCAGACTCGCCGTCGACATCGTCGTCATCGTCCTTGTGGTCGTCGCTTTTCCCAGGGTTTCTGATCGTCGGTCCTCGTCCTGTCGTCGCCGCCATCGCCGTCATCGTCGGTCGTCTGTCTCCGTTGCGGTCGCCGTCGCCGTCGCCGTTCTCGTCGTCGTCGTCGGTTTTCGCCGGACGTCGGGAGCCGTTTTGATGAAGCTCTCGGAGTGTCTCGGAGGTTTTCCCCGACCGCGTCACCCCTTCCCGTCTCCCCCCCTTTGCGTGACGCACGGTCCCGTTCAGGGATCCCCTCGGACGCATGACTGCGCTCCCAAGCATCCTTTCTCCATCTCTCACAAGTCGGTTCTCGAGTCAGTGCCGAGCTGGCATCTGCTTGCAAGTGGTTTCGCATGTCTCAAAAGTTACCACTTCGTCTCGGCACTCCGTGACAATCGGCACTGAGTCTTTACTCCTCCAACCAAAACCAAGTCGGAACGGCGCTTTGCTTCAGCTGGGCGCTACCGAGCAGGTTTTGTTGAGCAAGGTTATCCAGGGCTGTTCTGGGTAGACTGCGATATAGAAAAAGCTAGGCTGACGAATCTGAACTTGGCGCTGGGACATCCACTCCGAGTGTGCGTGTCGTAGTGCTGCCGACACCCGATGGCGGCTCCCCCGCCCCAGTCCTTCTCCACCCTCTCCTTCTTCGCCTTCGAGGAGAGCGGCAACACGCGTGTCCTGAAGCACCGTGCCATTGTCAATTGTTGGCGTCGCAACCATGGCTTTGCTATCCGAGAGTGCCGCCTCGAGACGGCTGCCACGATATCTACAGCAGCAAGCTCTCGAGAGGGGGCCGTGCCCTCTTATTCTGTCGGCGCTGTCATCCTTTCGAATTGTCCATTGGCAACTGGTCCTCATGTTCCTCATTCTTCTCCTCAACCTGCTCTTCGTCCCCTTTTCCTCTTGGCTGTCTGACCCTCTCCCTCTTCCCCTTTTTCTTCTCAACGTGTTTTCCTCATCTTCTTCCGCCTCGTCGTCGTCGTCGTCGTCCCTCTAATTATCCTACCTTGTGGGCGCCAGAGGTCAACAGCGAAATGGCGCTCTCCTTTTGCGCAGCCGGCCTAGCTGGAAGCGATCGTCCAGCGGGGCGCGAGGAAGATGGGCCTCCCAAGGTCAGGGAGATCAGATGAGATGGTTCGGGATACCCAGATCTTCTGGCGACTCGAACAACCTGCACCAGATACTTTTTTTCTCAATCGTCGGCGATCGGGGGCAGGGGGCTGTTTCCTGGACGTGGGACCGTCGGCATCACGACCCAGGATAGTAAGCAAGTTCAGAGTACGGAATCGAATGTACTGGGGCCAATGGATTGCGACAGCATCGAGCAGCTTATGACGTCAGAGATCTTCAGGAAGGGGGGCGGGGCGTGCGAAAGTTGCCACGCGCAGCTGGCGTCGATCCTGCCTGGCAGTCGGTCTCGATACATGGGCGCTCTGGGTGCCCCGTATCGCCCAGTCGGTCGTCTGATGTGATATATCAGAGGATCAAGGAGTCATGATAATGATAGGTTCTGAGATTTCCGAGAATTCCCATATCTCCTATTGTTTGCACGGGCTCCAGAGGTGAGGGCCGCAGCATATTCAGGAAATTCTGGAACGTATCCTGAGCCACTCCTGTCATGACATCATTTTCGTCCTGATATAGTTTGTCACGCTTCCCATGTCCCCACCAGCCCGTTCAGAGGCCCTGCCCACGAGAGCTGACGGGAAAAGGGACGAAGAGACATATGTAGTGAAACAAAGCAGGCAACCAGGATGAACAGAGAGATCTCTGGGAAAAGAGGGGTGGCCTTGGAGGGCCTCCTCGGGCCATCCCTGGGGCCCGCGGGGAGAGTGCAGGGAGATTGCAGCAGAGTGCCAGACAGCAGCGACGCCACGGTCGGACTATTACACCCCCCCTGTGGGGGGGCGGCTCTCGATAGGACATTATCCGTGAGGTTTCTTCAAGACAATATTTGATCACTGACGAGCCTGCCTCAACTTGGAGGCTCTCCACCCTCCACCCCCCAGAGGTCGCCACAGGGGGAATGGGCCAGTTTGCAACCGGCTCTGGTAATTCACTTCCGAATTGTCTTATTGTCACGGCACTCTTTAGCTGGGAGCAACATGCCCCCCCGGTCCCTACACTAGCGAAACACGAACACCTCCAGCACCAAGCGAGACCATTCCGCATGGCTACGCTGTGTGTGGTATGCACACTGCGAGAGGCAGTACCCAGTTCATTGGCAACTGAACGGGAAATGAGGACTGTATGACGCTGCTCACTCAAGTGCCTCTGTGCGAGGCCATTTTTTTTATACACCACCACCGCCCGCAACAGTAGTTTATCGCAAAAAGGGTTAGGGGCAGGGCCATGCCAAACGACGCTGCGACGCCACGGCGAAAAGGAGCGCGGCGCAGCTCGCAGGCGCCGTGGCATGGGGAGTTTCTGAAGCAGAAAAGCACTTCTTGGTGGTGGTGAATAAGAATCGCTCCTCTTGGTAACCAAAATTGTATACACCACCACCGCGCGTGCTTTGATGAATTCTGTTTCGGTCCTTCAGAGAGAGGGGGCAGCCCGGTTGTCGTTGGCGGCGGGAAGGGGGACTGCGGGCTTTTCACCAGAGCAAAACTGTACCACATCGTATCGTATATTATTCTCGATCTTGGTGGTGGCAGTCATATACTGTGCTCGGACTCTGTGCAGGGTCACCCTTACAGCAGTTGTCGTCATCCTAAAGCCTGGCCAAACGCCCAAGGTTATGACCCGATTTTACCTAACAGCGTAGACTGATAGGTTTCTAGTTGACTCAAAAGAGCTCACAGATCACTCCACAGGGGGGTCCGGGCAGGCGTTGGGAGTTGCCGGCCGGGCCTGTGCCGGGCTCGTTTTTCACCAACAGTCACACACTTCGTGCTCGTCGACCTCTCAGAACCCCATTCCCAGGCCACATTCTGAATAACCGGATGCAACAGTCACACACTTGGTGCTCTTCGACTTCCCAGAACTCCATTCCCGGGCCACATTCATGCCCGGAGCCAACTGTAGGATTCCCAAAACTCCATTCCCGGGCCACATTTTGATGCCCGGAGCCAACTGTAGGCCACTTCGTGGTCTTCGAGTTCCCAGAACTCCATTCCCGGGCCACATTTTGGATGCCCGGAGCCAACTGTAGGCCACTTCGTGGTCTTCGAGTTCCCAGAACTCCATTCCTGGGCATGATTTTGAATGCCCGGAGCCAACTGTAGGCCATTCGTGTTCTTCGAGTTCCCAGAACTCCATTCCCGGGCCACACTTTGAATGCTGAGGCAGGCTGATGCTGAGGCTGAGGCAGGCTGAGGCTGAGGCAGGCTGAGGCTGAGGCCGAGGCTGAAGGCAGACTGAGGCTGAGGCTGAAGCAGGCTGAGGCTGAGGCTGAAGGCAGACTGAGGCTGAGGCTGAGGCAGGCTGAGGCTGAGGCTGAGGCAGGCTGAGGCTGAGGCTGAGGCTGAGGCTGAGGCTGAGGCAGGCTGAGGCTGAGGCTGAGGCTGAAGGCAGACTGAGGCTGAGGCTGAGGCAGGCTGAGGAGGCTGAGGCTGAGGCAGGCTGAGGCTGAGGCTGAGGCAGGCTGATGCTGAGGCAGGCTGAGGCTGAGGCTGAGGCTGATGCAGGCTGAGGCTGAGGCAGCAGGCTGAGGCTGAGGCAGGCTGAGGCTGAGGCCGAGGCTGAAGGCAGACTGAGGCTGAGGCTGAAGCAGGCTGAGGCTGAGGCTGAGGCAGGCTGAGGCTGAGGCTGAGGCTGAGGCTGAGGCAGGCTGAGGCTGAGGCTGAGGCAGGCTGAGGAGGCTGAGGCTGAGGCTGATGCAGGCTGAGGCTGAGGCAGGCTGAGGCTGAGGCCGAGGCTGAAGGCAGACTGAGGCTGAGGCTGAAGCAGGCTGAGGCTGAGGCTGAGGCAGGCTGAGGCTGAGGCTGAGGCAGGCTGATGCTGAGGCAGGCTGAGGCTGAGGCTGAGGCTGATGCAGGCTGAGGCTGAGGCAGGCTGAGGCTGAGGCCGAGGCTGAAGGCAGACTGAGGCTGAGGCTGAAGCAGGCTGAGGCTGAGGCTGAGGCAGGCTGAGGCTGAGGCTGAGGCAGGTTGAGGCTGAGGCAGGCTGAGGCTGAGGCGGAGGCTGAGGCAGGCTGAGGCTGAGGCAGGCTGAGGCTGAGGCCGAGGCTGCAGACAGGCTGAGGCAGGCTGATGCTGAGGCAGGCTGCAGGCAGGCTGAGGCTGAGGCTGAAGCAGGCTGAGGCTGAGGCTGAGGCAGGCTGAGGCTGAGGCTGAGGCTGAGGCAGGCTGATGCTGAGGCAGGCTGTGGCTGAGGCTGAGGCTGATGCAGGCTGAGGGTGAGGCAGGCTGAGGCTGAGGCCGAGGCCGACGGCAGACTGAGGCTGAGGCTGAAGCAGGCTGAGGCTGAGGCAGAGGCAGGCTGAGGCTGAGGCTGAGGCAGGCTGATGCTGAGGCAGGCTGAGGCTGAGGCTGAGGCTGATGCAGGCTGAGGCTGAGGCAGGCTGAGGCCGAGGCTGAAGGCAGACTGATGTTGAGGCTGAAGCAGGCTGAGGGCGAGGCTGAGGCAGGCTGAGGCTGATGCAGGCTGAGGGTGAGGCTGAGGCAGGCTGAGGCCGAGGCTGAAGGCAGACTGATGTTGAGGCTGAAGCAGGCTGAGGGCGAGGCTGAGGCAGGCTGAGGCTGAGGCAGGCTGAGGCTGAGGCTGAGGCAGGCTGAGGCTGAGGCTGTGACTGCGACTGCTGTTGCCACTGCGACTGCCATCGCGAATGCGACCACGACTGCGAGAACAGCAGAATTCTACAACAGGATTCTTATCTGAATCTTAAGGGGAATGCTTCCAGATATGCTCCTACACATCGCTGTTAGGTTGCTTTGCCGGGATAATTTACCTAACATCGAAGACTGATAGGTTTCTAATGGTGTAAAAAGAGAGCAGCACATTACTCCACAGGGGGGTCTGGGCAGCCGTTGGGGAGCCGTTGGGGGGCCGTTGGGGTTTGCCGGGGGGATCGTTTTTCGCATACAGTCACACACTTCGTGCTTTTCGATTTCCCAGAACTCCATTCCCGGGCCACATTCTGAATGCCCGGAGCCAACTGTAGGCCACTTCGTGCTCTTCGACTTCCCAGAACTCCATTCCCGGGCCACATTTTGGATGCCCGGAGCCAACTGTAGGCCACTTCGTGCTCTTCGACTTCCCAGAACTCCATTCCCGGGCCACATTTTGGATGCCCGGAGCCAACTGTAGGCCACTTCGTGCTCTTCGACTTCCCAGAACTCCATTCCCGGGCCACATTTTGGATGCCCGGAGCCAACTGTAGGCCACTTCGTGATCTTCGAGTTCCCAGAATTCCATTCCTGGGCATGATTTTGAATGCCCGGAGCCAACTGTAGGCCACTTCGTGTTCTTCGAGTTCCCAGAATTCCATTCCCGGGCCACATTTTGAATGCTGAGGCAGGCTGAGGCTGAGGCTGAGGCAGGCTGAGGCTGAGGCAGGCTGAGGCCGAGGCTGAAGGCAGACTGAGGCTGAGGCTGAAGCAGGCTGAGGCTGAGGCTGAGGCAGGCTGAGGCTGAGGCTGAGCAGCTGATGCTGAGGCAGGCTGAGGCTGAGGCTGAGGCTGATGCAGGCTGAGGCTGAGGCAGGCTGAGGCTGAGGCCGAGGCTGAAGGCAGACTGAGGCTGAGGCTGAAGCAGGCTGAGGCTGAGGCTGAGGCTGAGGCTGAGGCAGGCTGATGCTGAGGCAGGCTGAGGCTGAGGCTGAGGCTGATGCAGGCTGAGGCTGAGGCAGGCTGAGGCTGAGGCCGAGGCTGAAGGCAGAAGGCTGAGGCTGAGGCTGAAGCAGGCTGAGGCTGAGGCTGAGGCAGGCTGAGGCTGAGGCTGAGGCAGGCTGATGCTGAGGCAGGCTGAGGCTGAGGCTGAGGCTGATGCAGGCTGAGGCTGAGGCAGGCTGAGGCTGAGGCCGAGGCTGAAGGCAGACTGAGGCTGAGGCTGAAGCAGGCTGAGGCTGAGGCTGAGGCAGGCTGAGGCTGAGGCTGAGGCAGGCTGATGC